ACCTCCCTCTGATCATATCTATCTATCTATCTATATATCTCAGTTTGTTCATTATCTATCTATCTCAATATTTTCATTTTCTATCTATCTATCTATCTATCTATCTATCTATCTGTCTCGCAGTGTTCATGCCATATATATGAATCTATATATAATCCGCTAATAACATAATATTCTTGTGCGATCTCCTTCGGTCTTTGATAAGTATTGTGTACTTTTTTTATATTTTTTATAACAATATCTTCATACATGACTGTATATTCTGTATTCTCTAGCATTGGTTAACGGCTTGTCTAAGTTAAGGTCTATTTTTCAAAACCGTAGAGAAGGCAAGAGAAAATCTTTCCACTATCATCCCCAAGAATAATGCTAATTATCTGATATTAAAGGAAAGTAATCCGTGTAGAACCTTGAGCGAATGTTTCCCGAAAGAATATGGCATATAATTTCTCTTTTGTTTTTTTATCCGCTTCTAATTTCTTGGGTATTGAACGGGTAATCATTAAATTCCTTTCATCAACAAAGTAACCACTCAGATACCATAAAAATAATTCAGAAAAAAAAGACATGTACCTTTAAAAGGATCGGGACATACGCTGAGTTTCCTATGGAGAAGGCGGGCTTGAAACAGTCGTTTGCTCGACGCAGTTTTCTTTGCGAACTGACTGAAATCAGCACCAGTGTATCGATCAGTAAATTGAAATAGGAATTCCTTAATCGATACCTGAACGATTCCGATCGATCTATGAATGTTCTTGGTGCGCCGGCCGGATCTGAACGTTTATGACCCAAATGGGGAAACGGGAATTTGAATTTCGAGAAGGATTTGTCAGTCACAGGGATTGGGTGTGGGCAACGAGAGCGGGAACACGCACACACTGACAGAGTCACACGAACAAATACAAATTCTCTTCCCTCTACCCACCAAATAACAGAACAGAATGATATGCGCGGAAATATTATGTAAATTTATAGACGTCAACAGTTAAATATGCAAATAAAGATCTATACGTAGACTCATTTTATATGTACAGGAATTTAGGCTGGCACATACACAGTCACAGTTACACACACACACACACATAAGTTGTAAGTACGTGTGTGTGTGTGCGTGAGTCAGTGTTTGAAAAAGAATAAACTGTTTACAGTTTGAGCTATAAACAAACTGTCGCAGTAGAGACAGAATAAATGGGACTGAATGAAATCTCTTTTAATTAATGAGACAGCGAAATAATGATGATAGGACTGAGGCAGATGAGAAAAGACTAGAAATAGATAGATAGATAGATATAGATAGATAGATAGATAGATAGATAGATAGATATAAACAGACTGTAATGCAATGATAAATATGAACAGACTGCAATGCATATATATATATATATATATATATATATATATATATATATATATATATATATATATATATATATACAGATAGATATATAGATACATACTGAAATAGCTAGATAGATAGATATGAACAGACCGATAGAATGATATGAAAAGAACTGCAATAGATAGATAGATAGATAGATAGATAGATAGATAGATAGATAGATAGATGAACAGGATGTGATAAATATATGTACAAAATGTGATAGATATATGAACAGAATGTGATAGATAGATAGATAGATAGATAGATAGATAGATAGATAGATAGATAGATGTGAACAGACTGTGATAGATAGATAGATAGATAGATAGATAGATAGATAGATAGATAGATAGATAGATGTGAACAGACTGTGATAGATAGATAGATAGATAGATAGATAGATAGATAGATAGATAGATAGATAGATAGATAGAAACAGTTTATGATGCATAGATAGATATGAACAGATTGTGATGCATAGATAGATAGATAGATAGATAGATAGATAGATAGATAGATAGATAGATAGATAGATAAAGCAATTAAAATGAGAATCTAAGGAAGATTATATTCCGTCCATCCTATAAGTTTTAGTCTTGAACATTAACCGATGGCGCCAAATGTAGTATACATGAACCACATTCAAGAAATAATTGATCCATGAACTCTGAACCCTGCCGAGAGTTGGGAATACACATCTATATCGGACACTAAACTGCCCTGTTAAATTTATTGATTAATTCTTCCCGGTTTAGTTTCCTTGCGTCAATACTGACAATGGATATTTATTTTGGTCATATTTTCATTTTTCTGTCAAAGTTGGTAAATGGATGATAGCGAATTGCACTTATTCCTACTCAACGACGTTTTTTTTTTTTTTCTATTTTGTTGTCCCTCTAACACGTGCATCTGGATGGAAGTGCGACAAAGCAGAGAGAAAGGTGAATATAACTCTTTTCAAAAAAATATTGAGACAAAAGTCATAAATGCAATATTGACACCTGATTGAAATCGATTAGCTGATTTTGCTCGAGAAACTGCTCTCTACAATAACGCTTCATTCATATGACCTTTACTAATTAGTCGTGAGTAGAAATCACCAGGAAGAAGGGTACACATCCGCCGAATTCGGTAGTCACAAATGCTTACTGATTGGCCGATAGATATCGAACGACCGTCAGGAAGATAGGTACGAGGAGAGCGTGGTAGGTTCGACTCGCATTGGGTTCAACACTAAATGATCTAGTGCCAGTAAGTACAGCTTACAAATATATATATATATATATATATATATATATATATATATATATATATATATATATGCGGCGCAGTTCAATATATATTACAATGAATGAATGATTCATTGTAATATAGATTGAATTGCACCACATATTTGATTTAAAAGAACTGATCCAAACGTGCAAATTTTCGGGATAACAGCTGAGACATTACTCTATTTATTGAACAATTTAGTTCATGCCACATTGACTGAAAAACTCCTACAACAAAAAAATTCTTAAAATTACCTTATTAAAAAAAAAAACACTCTTAAATTTTCAAAAAAAAAAATTCAACCTTAGCGTTGCGAACGCACGCTCCAAAAGTTTTTATCCGTTAACAATAACACATTTCTAAAAAAAAATATTTCTATTTGCATTTAATCTTTCGTCTCTAATGCTTTCTGAATTTCCCAAAAACAAAACAATTTCCATACCTGAGGATGGCTGTATGCACAGCCGAAAGTACTAGCAGATTAAAAAAAAGACCTTATACAACTTCGAGTGATTCGTGGGTTAATGCAACTTTAAAAATTTTGTTTGCGAAGAGTTTTCGTCATTTTATATCATTAACTTCAATAATCTACTTTTTTTGTATGAATGATTCATTGTAATATATATATATATATATATATATATATATATATATATATATATATATAAGGGAAATTGGGGACACACAACCATTGGCTGCTGTCGATAGCTGTGTTAGCACGGTCACAAGTGATCGTGGCCGAGGGCTTGAGCGTGCTGGCTGGCCATGTTCAGATTGTAACAAAGGTCTGCTCAGCATAGTTGCAGTATAAACCACAGGTGGGCTCTGTGGGTGTTGAATAAACACACATGCGCCTGACCAAGCGTCTGCAATAGGGATTGACTAGGCGTCCTAGTAGACGGGCATCTTCGAATATGAGTTGCCATCTCTCTCTCTCGTTATATATATATATATATATATATATATATATATATATATATATATATATTAACAAATGTACAAAGTCCGACACTTATTTTAAGATATTTTATGTTTATACATTCTTTTTTATGGATACACATTTAAGTAAATGCTCTGTTTATAATAAACAGTATTAAACAACATTTACCGGCCTTTTCCTCCGACAGGAATCGAACCTGTATCCTATACGAAACCATCATATAGCCTGACGTGCCTTTAACCGATTTGGCCACAGAGGAGCTTCGGTTAGTAAGGTCGATTTTACTGCTTTTAAACTACAATCTTTTCTGATTCTCTGACGAACATTCATCTCTGCTCATGGCGTATCCAAATGTAAACAAATGACGTCAGACATTATGAAATGTACAATTTTATTTTAAGACATGTTCATGTTTATATCTATAGTTTTATGTTTATCTATGAAAATAATTTATGAACATAAAAAATGTTCATATATATATATATATATATATATATATATATATATATATATATATATATATATATATACATTTGTTAAATAGAACGGACAACAAATATCTAGTATGTTTGATCATGAGACGTTCTAAGTTTCATGTCGTGGCTTTAGTTTCGCCAGAAAATAAAGACAAAACAACCTTCAACATAAACTAAACTAAAAAATGAATCATGATCAAACATAATAGACTTTCGTTGTCTGTTACATTTAACAATATATGTTTGAATAATGATCTACTGTCCCAATACACTAAATATGCATATATATATATATATATATATATATATATATATATATATATATATATATATATATATATATATATAACGGGTGCAACATCCAAATCGTGTACAAGTATAGGATAATTATGCTTCCGCCAAAATGTTTAATATCTAAAAAAACCTCTAAAGTAATTTAGTTTCTTTTTCCAGGTTTTCAGATAAGACATTTAGTCATCTTGACACCATTCGTCGTACGAATCACTGGAAAACCTTTTGAGTTATTCAGCTAGAAAGAGAACAGGTTAAAATGGCTTTATGTCAACCGCCCTATGTCAGTAGCACAATGCCATCATCAGGATCTTGTTTTTTTCTAAGACAAAAAGATTGTGAACATATATATATATATATATATATATATATATATAAGGGAAGAGGTTATAGTTGTTCCAACGAGTGAAAAGTGTGTATATTATAAAGAAGAGATAAACCGCAAACGTTTTTGGTTGTAATGTGGATTTTCAAAAAAAATATATTATGCTTTATTTCCCAAAATTTTGCTACACGGGTTTCCGGTCTCACGACCTTTATCAGGCAAAGAATGGGTCACTAACACACAAAAAAGAAAAAGTCTTATATCAAGAACCTTTAATATCGTAAATCATAAGAAAAATTAATTCCTTTTAATAATATTTGGAAATATCCACTTCTTACTTTCTAGTCGACTTTGATCTTCAAAAATTTAAATGCAATGTCAATTGTCGGTCTTCTTAATTTCTCTTCTTTTATTGTCCTTTCCCCTCGCTAAAGTCTTCTAATTCTCTTTCTTCTTACTTTCCAGTCGACTTTGATCTTCAAAAATTTAAAATGCAATGTCAATCGTTATAGTCGCTCTTCTTAATTCTTTTTCTTATTCTTTTATTTTCTCACTTTAATAATGTTTTTCTTTCTCTCATATTCTTTCCCGTTCTGTAGACCAATTGCGTCTTAGCGGCCTTATTGCCTTGCTTCGAGTGAAATGAATTATTATTGTGACCCTTTTTTCATTCGAATGATATACTAGAAATGAAATTCGATAGAACATCATTTGTTTATTACAAGAAGGTAGAAAGGTGATAAAGACAGTAAACTACTGATAAAAAGAAATTGATATATTCTTGACTACGAAGAAACGGTTGTATATTATGTTAAATTCTCTTACTTTTTTCTGCAAGGAAATTGCTTTGAAGTAATTTGTGATATATCCAAAGTAAATTGAACTTAGTACACACCTGATTTAAATTGCAAACAGACGAACAGTCTCCATCACTTGTCCTTTTTAATGCTTAATTTCCAAATAATAAAAATTGAATTGCAATTAGCTTATGGATGTCAGTGAGTGCATGCCCCGAAAGACGTATGTTTAAATCCAGAATTATGGTTTAATGTGTCCCTAAATTTGGTCAAATAACCAAACATCAAATTTTCCTCGCATATATATATATATATTTAGTTTATTTTTTCTTTTATTTTTGTTTATTTAGTTTATTTTTGTAGGTTACTTTTACTTATCTATTTGCTTATTAAATTATTTATTTATTATTTTTTATGTATTATGGGTTATTACTTATTGTTTTTTTAATATAGATTTTTATTATATATTTTTATTTTATTTTATTTTTATTTATTATAGATTTTTATGGTTTTACTAGTTTTTATACGTTACTAGCAGTAGAGCCCGGCGTTGCCCGGGGATATAACAGTAAGAGATAGCTCAAGTATCCACCATCATAAAGACTGAAAAATAAAATTGACAAAGATTATTGTTTAAGGTTGACGGACACGCATGTCTTACTTAGTTTTTTTTTTTTTTACGAATTGGTCAAACCCTAACTCAAACAAAAACATTGTTTTCAATCGTTATGAGTCTACTGATTGAATAGAATTTTATTATAAATAATTGTCTTGTAAATGGAATTTTTAAAGCATTCTGAATGTAAAATAAAGAAAAAAAAATTGCAAGACAATAAGAAACACTACATGCCAAACAAAAGTGAAGTTTTGTTGAAATCGGTTGAAAAATATAGGTAGCCTTTCTGTAATCTTTTAGTTTTACAATTTATGATTTTTACTTATTGAATACAGTAAAAAAAATTGCATATTTTGCTTGTGGTGATTTATAATTAGAATTCTGTTTAGAATATATTTTCCACTTGTTGTTTCTAATATAAAAAATATTAACTTTATTTGGGTTTATTAATTATGATCTAACAAATCTTATTCATTTAGTAGCCTTTCTGTAATAATAATCTTTTAAATTTATGATTTTTTACTTATTGAATACAGTAAAAAATTGGACACCATGTGTATTTAAAGTAGTTTCCCGTTCCGGTTATTATTTTTAGTTAGGACTTGTGTATGTTTAGATTTCATTATCTTTCCCTAAAGATAAAGAATTTATTCCGATGTTTGTATTCGTACAATCAGTAGAGATCGTTAGATTATTGTTTAAGGTTGACGGACACGCATGTCTTAATTAGTTTATTTTTTTTTATTTTTTACAAACTCAAACAAAAACGTTGTTTTCAATCGTTATGAGTCTCCCGATTGAATAGAATTTTATTATAAATAATTGTCTCGTAAATGGAATTTTTAAAGCATTCTGAATGTTAAAAATAAAGAAAAAAGTGTGCAAGAGAATAAGAAACACTACCTGCCAAAAAAAAAAAGTGAAGTTTTGTTTTATCGGCTGAAAAATATAGGAAATCCGCTCCCATATTTAAAGGAACCCACACACACAAACAACCTGATGTGAGTTGTCCCCCTTCCATTTTCACGATGTCTCTTAATCGTGTTTTCAAATTGATTTTGTGCAAAAACAATTATATTTTTCCCATTTTTGGCGCTGTTAGAACCACCACAAGGTAATTTTATGTAGTCCTGTGAAGTTTTGTTGAAATCGGTTGAAAAATGTAGGAAATCCGATCCAATATATAAACGTTACAGACACACACACACACACACACAAACACTCAATCTGCGTTTTATAATAAGTAAGATTACATTCATTATATTTTATATTTATTCATATATTTATTTTTATTAATTTTATTATATGAGATTATAAAAAAATGTTGAAATCGCGACACAAAAACTGTCATGTTACAATACTATGACTGTCCTTCTTCAGGCTATGGTAAATAACTATCTGT